AAAAAAAAAAAAAAAAAGAAATGCTAGAACAGAGCCTAGATCAAAGGATAGATAGGAGATCATGCCAGGGAAATATATTTTTAGGAAAAGGAGTCGGTGAAGGAGGCCATTTCTGACAGTGGACATTTAAGAGATGGATTTTAGAATGAGAAGGATGAACAGACTCAAGAGGAAATTAGGGAGTGTAGCACCATGGAGTTCAGAGAAAGAGGCTGTCGGGAAAGAACAGAGGTGATAGAAGGCACGAGTTCTAGCAGAGTGGTGAAGAGGAGAGGAAAACCATGTTTTCCCAGCATGGATATGTATGTACCATGTATATAGAGGCCAGAAGAGGGCATGGAACTACAGTTACAGGTGGCTGTGAACCACCGCGTGGGTGCTGGGGATGGAGCCCTGGCCCTCGTTAAAAGCAGTGAATGCTAGCTGTTTCTTCACTTCCCTCTCCAGCCCCTAAGAAAAAGAACCACACAAATGAATTCATAGCATTTTTGTTATCAATGATATCTAATGAAGATATATTTAGAAAGGAGATAGTCACATAGAATTTTCTATGTATCTATTGTCTGTATGAAAAAACTAACCGGCAGGCATGGTGAGATGGCTCAGTGGGTAAAAGTGCTTGCCATGAAAGGCTGGAGACCTTGGGTTTGATCCCCTGGAACCCACATAAAGGTGGAGGAGAGAACCAATTCTGCAGAGTTGTCCTCTGCATTCCACACGTGCACTGTGGCATATGTACTCATACACACATCATGTGTGCACACACTTGTAAAAGTTTTATTTTTTTAATCTATAAATTGGCTGTGTTAATGCACACCTGTAATTGCTAAACTCTGGAGGCTAAAGCGGGAGGATTGTGAGTTTGTGGATAGCCCAGCCCAACATAGTCAGACCATGTCTCAAAAATAACTAAAAACCTAAACTATTGTTTATAAACTTGCTGAAATGGTTTTACTTCAACTAAACATGAAAATAAAAACTAGGGCAACCTCCTATTAAAGTTGAACAAATAGTTGTTTTTTGTTGTTGTTGTTGTTGTTGTATTTTGTTTTTTCTTTGTTTTGTTTTTCGAGACAGGGTTTCTCTGTAGCTTTTGGAGCCTGTCCTGGACCAGCCTGGTCTCGAACTCATAGAGATCCACCTGCCTCTGCCTCCCAAGTGCTGGTATTAAAGGCGTGTGCCACCACCGCCTAGCTGACAAATAGAATTTTAACTCAGCTTTAACAACAACTTTAAGTGTCACTCAGCAGTATTGGGTTAACATTTCCTGCTACTGCATTGGTAACTTTTTTGGGAACTGAGCTCTTACTCTTTAGAGATAAGTGTGATTCTCAACTTTAGCAGCTGAGCTCTCTCTCCAGCCCATAATTTAGAATGTTGAAGTCAAAAGGATGATACTATTTCTTCAGACTATTAAAGAAATATTTTCTGAACAAAACAGTTTGTGGTCTTGAGGATCAAACCCAGGATCTGCTTGACAAATGCTAAACAAGCAGTTCTGCCATTGAACTGCATCTCCATTGGCATTGTAAATTTTAAGTGTTTATTCTTATTATTAGTTTTTTGAGAGAGGGTCTTATTATGTAACCTTGACTTGCCAGGAACTTACTGTAATGACCAGGCTGGCCTTCAACTCGAGAGAGATTTCCCCTTATTCTTTTAGAGGATAGGACTGCCCTGCCTAAGAGTTTTATTTTTAAGTAGCTTGTACTTCAGTTTGCTGCTCAATTTAAAAAGTAAAGTATTGTGATAAACAGTTTTCTAGATTTTTTTATTTCTCTCAAGAATTTATCCTAAATTCAGTTTTTTGTTTGTGAAACAAGCAAAGATAAAGAAAATGAAAAGGGTCACCTTTCAAAATACTTTCTATGTTTTTATACTTTTCTCTTTGGGGAGACAGGTTTTGCCACTTTGCCCATACTAACCTGGAACCTGACTTGACTTCCTGGCTCCCTGCTGGGGTGTTGGTCTTATAACACCACACTAAACTTGGTTTCTGTGCTTAAGTCAAAGTTTTCAGAGAAAGAGCTCTCTAAGTCATAGTTTTATTAATAGAGTGTTTTCTTTACGCTTTGCTTCAGTTTTATAGAATTATCTTCTAAATATTTATTTATTAGAGGTGGGCTATGAAGCCCTGTCTGTCTTGGAGCTTTCTCTGTAGACCAGGCTGGCCCTCAACTGACAGAGATCTATCTGCGGCCTCCTATTTGCTGGAACTAAAGGCATGTGGCAACATGTCTGACTTATCTTATTAATTTTTTTTTTGATGTAAAAGGGTGTTTGGTCTGCATGTATATTGTGTCTGTACATCATGTGTGTTCTCACAGAGGCCAGAAGAAGGCACCATATCCCTGGAACTGGAGTTGTAGGTGTTTGTCAGCCTTCATGTGGGTGCTGGGGGCTTGTACCTGAGTGCTCCGGAGAGCAGCCATTGCTCTTAGCTGCTGAGCTATCTCTTCAGCCCCTTAACTGTTTTCTGAGTGTTGCTTAAGTATTAGAAAGTTTAGTTTTTTTAATTTTCTTAAAGCCTGCTCATGGGTTTCAAATCATCAAATTGTGTTTAACTTTACACTTTTTTTTTTTTTCAAAATTTATAGCTTCAATAGCCGTACATTCCCCACAGAAGAGCACTAAAAACCATGCCTTGCTGGAAGCTGCAGGACCAAGTCATGTTGCAATCAATGCCATTTCTGCCAACATGGACTCTTTTTCAAGCAGCAGAACAGCAACGCTTAAGAAGCAGCCAAGCCACATGGAGGCTGCTCATTTTGGGGACCTAGGTAAGTGACTGACACTTCTTATTAACGCCTAATAAAGGGCAAACGTAATAAAACATGTGAGATTCCAGTCGAAAGATATTGAACTTCATGATTGGAAGAGACTTTGAAAAAAAAATAGACTAAAAAAAAACCAAGTGCAAGTGTAATGAGGTAGTGCTGTATTGTGTTCATGCAAATATAAGGAGTGTCCAGTAGAAAACTGAGGAGGTGCATTTGACCACCTAATAAGAATGCACAGAAAAGATTACTGACTTTAATAGTACCTTGATACAAATCAAAGTCATGAGTTAAATATACTCAGAGTTTGCTAATTTGAATGTTAAGTGGGGTTGAAGGAAATGGCTATCCTAGTTAGCAATGGTGTAAAGGAGTAAAAAAGATTATTTTGGAAATAGTCTTTTTGGAAGTATTGTCTGATTCCAATGTTAGAAAAGTTTGTCTTTAGATAGGAAATTGTTACCAAAATAGCTAATTTATTTGCTTCTGTCTTTTAGGCAGATCCTGTCTGGACTATCAAACTCAAGAGACCAAATCCAGTCTTTCCAAGACCCTTGAACAGGTCTTGCGTGACTCTGTTGTCCTCCCATATTTCCTCCAATTTATGGAGCTTCGGAGAATGGAGCACCTGGTGAAATTTTGGTTAGAGGCTGAAAGTTTTCACTCTACAACTTGGTCCCGAATAAGAGCACACAGTCTGAACACAGTGAAACAGAGTTCTTTGGCTGAGCCTGTCTCTCCATCTAAAAAGCCTGAGACAACGTCAGCATCTTTTGTAACTGAGTCTCTGGACAAGAGGTTGGGGGATTCTAGCTCAGCCCCACTGCTCGTGACTCCATCAGAAGGAATTGACCTGAGTGATAGAACTCAGAACACTCAGAATCACTTGCTGCTCTCCCAGGAATGCCACAGTGCCCCTTCTCTCCATCTTGAAATGGCCAGAACAGGAGCTCCTCAAATCTCCACAGACTCCCGAGAATCCTCCCCCAGACTTACAGTAGCCAGTAGAAATAGCCCCTCTTCTCCACTGCGAGAACTGTCAGGAAAACTTATGAAAAGTAAGTATGTGACGCCTGTGCCTCATCACAGTGCGGGACTTCAAACGAGGAGGACGGGTCAGCATAGAGTCTTTCTGCCTCCGGTGTACACCCATAGGAGGCTCGGAGGAGTGGGGGAGCCTCGGTGGAAGGAAATGCTGAGTGGGGACAGTGCAGCAGGGCCCTGTGCTGCTTGTTCTCACATTTGTCCAAGTTGATGGTCTCCTGGTCTCAGTCCTCATTGTCACTGTCTAACTGCACCTTACAGCTTTATTTTTTCTTTTTTAGATTGCTGGTAGGTATCCTTTATTGAGTTCTGTATTAAGTATATTTGGATTTCACTTAATTGTCATGATAGCTGTGTTAAGTAGATATTAATATTCCGTTTACCCTTGAGACTATTGTTGTTTAGAATGTTCCTTCCTGGGTTGTCTAGTAAGTGATGAGCTAGAATTAAATAGGCATTTTGAAAATAACACTTTTTTCTTTCTTGTTCTGTTAATTCAGAAATCGCACCACATTCTCATTATTTTAATTACTGCTCTTTGGAATTCTTATTATCCAGACTTTATCTTTTTTATCTTCTCTCTCTCTCAAAGGCTGGGTGACTTCTTCAAATGCTGGTAGCTCTCTACAGAGATAGGTCTGGTTTGCTAATGAACTAATTTTAGTGTGTCAGTTCATCTTGCAAAGTTTCTGGATTTCTGTAAGATTTTGTGTGTAAATGTGTGTGATTGTAGGCTTGCATGTAGAGGTCAGAAGAGAGTTTTCAAGTGTGCTTCCTTCCATAGTAGGCTCCAGGGTTGGCTCTCAGGTTTATGTGACAAATGTTTTTACCCACTGAACCATTGTCAGCCCCTGAATTTATTTCTTAAAAAAAATTTTTTTCTGATTTTTTTTTTTTGGTAATTTCTTCTTTCCTTCACTCTCATTTTGATCTTATTTTTATCTTCTCAAATTTGTTAGATATAGTTGTCTTATATTCCCATCTATAGTTCTAGTGGATCTGAGTCAGAGTGGTTTGTTTCATCAGACTCATACTCTTGGTGTGGAATGTAGTTTTTTTCAGGGAGTGGGTAGGTGAACATACATTTTGTGAAGTTTTCCCAGTTTTCTAACTGAGCTCAACCAGCCACCTGTTTTGTGAGCCTATGGTGTGGACAGTGTTTAGACCCTGTAACTAGAGTTACTCTTTTGTTGTGTTAAAACACTGGCCAGAGGCAGCTTAGGGAAGGAAGGGTTTATATCCTCTTACACTTCCAGACCATGCTCCATCATTAAGGGAAGTCAGGGCAGGAGTTCAAAGCAAGAACCTGAAGGTGGGAGCCGTGGAGGTATCTCACAGAGATCTTCATTTGACAGTCCATCGCTTCTGTGAGCAGCATTGTCTACCCATTCTGTTATGTCCAAACTCCTTTATATTTTAAATTAACTTTTAAAAGTTGTAGGTTTCCATAAAGTTTTTGATCCCTCTCCTCGCATCCTTAAGACAAATGTTTTCTATTTCCTTTCTTCATTAGTGTCTGTCAGAGATTAAACATAGAACTTCAGATTGAGCTATATCCCCTTGTCTGTACTTTATTTAAGAAGATAATAAATTTGATTTCAAGATCTTAGTTTATGTTGCCAAGGGGAGAAAAAAAGTAATTTTTTTAGCTGACTTTGATAAAGATAATTAATTTTTCTAGTATATATGTGTCTTCATAGCTCCCTCCCTGGCTTCCTGGTTGGCTTTGCTGATAGCCCTGTCTGTTGTGGTTCTTAGGGTTTGGCCCTGTTTCCACTGACTAGTTGCTTCATTGTGTTAAGCCTGCTTTATCATCCAGCATCCTCAGCTAGGGGTTACTGACCTTCCTGACCTCCTGGTTTTTATAGACATGTGTATATAATCTGTACTCCCATTCTGTGAGTTACGTTTGTGTGTGAGCCACCATTTGGGTGCTGGTATTGAACCAGGTCCTCTGGAAGAACAGTTGGTACTCCTAACCACTAAGCCATCTTTTCAGCCCCATGACCTCAGGTTGTGTTTTTTGTTCATAAAGACATTGTTAGTAATTTAAAATAATAGAGAAAATTTGGTTACTTCATGTGGTAAATAAATTATTTCAGTAACTAATTATGGTAAATTTATTCTTGTACTTATTATACATCTCATTCTGTTTTGTTTTGTTTTGTTTTGTTTCTGAGACAAGGTTTCTCTGTAGCTTTGGTGCCTGTCTTGGAATTAGTTCTTGTAGACCAGGCTGGCCTTGAACTCACAGAGATCTGCCTACCTCTGCCTCCTGAGTGCTGGGATTAAAAGTGTGCACCACCATGGCCCTGTTACATCTCATTTTTAAGATATAATAATAGATGGCATAGTCACAGGCTAACTTAACTATTCAGGGAAATTTTTATTCAATTTATGAAATATCTGAAGAATTTTCTATTACATAAGCTTTTATATTTTAATTAATTTTAAATTACTTCATATGTCCTGAATTTCAAGAATTCTTAAAATTTAGTGATCTAAAGTCTTATTCTTTAAAATTTTTTTAAAGATTTATTATTTTATTGTACATGTATAAATGTAGGTTCTGGAAATCAAACCTGGGTCCTTGGGAAAAGTAACTAGTGCTCTTAACTAAGAAGTCCATCTCTCCAGCCCCTTAAATATTTTAAAAACTAATTAAAGAAATGCTAAAGTGAGTAACTTAGTGCTTAAGCATCCTCCTGATGCCTGAAGGAAAGTTCCTTTTTTCCAATTTTTGATGCATCGCACACCTTAAGAGGTACATTTTAAAAAACAAAACAGGATATTTTAAGGAAATTTTTTGTTCCTTTTTCTTTAAGTCATATTGCATTCGTGTGTGTCTGTCTGTCTGTCTGTGTGTATGTGTGTGCACACACACATGTGCACAAGTGAAGGTGCCCTACATGCTTAAGGTCAGAGGACAACTGCTACAATATGGGTCCCTGGTGAGCCATCTTTCAGGTCCCCTTTATTATTTATTTAGTTGGTTAGTTTTATTGTTGTATTCTCTTGTTCTTTTTATTATAGAGTATTAAAATTAGTACAATCTAAGTTTTATTGTTTTGTTGGTTTTGGTTGATTGATATTTTGTTAATATTATCTATCTATATTGCCCAGACTGGCCCCAAATTCCCTGGAAAAGCTCTTAGAGTGATCATCCTGCTTCATTTTCTGAAGTAGGTGGGACTATAGATGGTCTTAACTATATATAGCTTTTCTGACATATTCATTTATTTCCTCCCCAATCCCTGGGACAGAGTCTCACTTTGTAGCTTTGACTGTTCTAGAACTTACTATGTAGACCCGGCTGGTCTAGAACTCAGAGATCTGCCTGCCTCTGCATCCTAAGTACTGGGATTATGGGTGTGTGCTGCTGTGTCTGGCTTCATTGATATTAAAAAAAGTTTTATTACTTCTTTGAGAAATTTGTGTGTTTATATTCAGCATCCTAAACTCTGCTCAGACCCATACTCCCTTCTCTACCCATCCAACTTTGTATCACTTTTTAAAAATTATTTTTTTATTTAAATCTGTCAAGACTTGTACTACCCAAATAGTCTTAGGTATGTGATCTTCCACTGGCGTGTGGATGATTTAGCAGTGACTAGTTATATTCTTAGAGAAAACTGACTCCCCATATCCCAGCAAGTATCAGTTCCTCAGCTAGGGGTCACATGGGACTTTTTGTCCCACTTTGGAGACAGGGTCTCACTGTGTAGCTTTGGCTGTCCTAGAACTCACTCTGTAGACCAGGCTGGCCTCAAACTCTCAGAGGTCCACCTGCCTCTGCCTTTTCCATGCTGGGATTAAAGGCGTGCTCCACCATACCTGCCTTAACAACTCTCCTCTTTATGCTAGAATTTGAGCTGGCTTGGGCTTGCACAGGTCTTGTATATGCGATCATAATTGTTGTGAGTTCATGTGTGT